GTTGACTAAAATTTTTGTCCGCCATCTTTGTTTGCCATCTTGAAAATTTTAAAACAGCCAAGGTTATATCTGAACGTAAAATTTTCCGCTTTTTCATTTTCCGGTGTCAAAAAGGAGGGTTTCTATTTTAAAAAAACCACTTCCGGTTGAAGTAACTCACTTTCGGTCAAAATCAAAAGTTGAAAGGTACGCCATTTTGGTTCCCCCTCGAAACCCTACAACTTTTATATGAAACTTTTTTCGATTCCTGGCCACACAAACGAGTTATTGGAGGTGATATATTCAGATGACTCACCCTGTATTACGTTACTATTTTCATATTGTCACACATTCTATATGTATATAAAACGCAAAAGCATACTTGTCGCAAATATATTTCTTGTGTTTCTTCTTACTCAGTTGTGCGCTCACGAGTCGAGATAGATTCTTTATACACGCAAAGTGTCCACGATTAATATCTCGTGAATCCGAAACGTAGAGCAAGTTTACGTGCTTCTCTCTCTTTTGCTCTGTGAGTCGTATTGGAAGGATGACAAGTTGTGCGGTGTCCATTTTCCTCGGTCGGATAAAGAGCGGCGACCACCGACCATCTAAAGCATGCATTGTCTTTAGAGAGCACATTAATTACCGCTCTTTTAAACTTAATTTTTGGCGGCAAATTTATGACATCCTGCACGCAATGGATTATACTTGTTCACGTTTACAGTTAAATTCAGTATACGTGACAAAGCCCTACTATCGCGTTCTTGGAATTCATCTAAAAACGCTAACGTGGGTTCGATGATATATCGCTCGTATCACTCGTCTAAATTAGTTGTACAAAAAATTTCCAAATTTCTGGTAGTTATATTTTTATTGGCTCGTTTATCTCCCAATATAAAGTCATCATTAAACGCTGTATTGATTTTCAGACTATTGTGTTTCTCAATGCCATTTTACACTTTTTCCAACACGGTACTTCTCACATGTTCGAGAAAATAGCGAGATTCAACATGATGTTTGTTGATGATAGCACCCGTCATTAGTTTACTCTCAAAAGCGGTGTTTATCTCTCGCCATGTAAGTGTATGTCCGGCGCCAATATATGCAAACTGTCGACGCAGTGAGTTTTATAATCCTTCGAGTCGGGCAATTCTAGCCACCAGCGATTGTAGGACTCTTACAGATAGTCGCGGACGTTTGTTCCAATTATGTTCTTCCAATAATTCGAGACATTCTTCACAACGCTGCTCCCACGCTACAAACTTCTCGCGAGTTCAAACAAGTCGACTGTTCTAATACATTGCGCTCTAATTGCGCGATTGTTTCATTTTTCACTCTTATAACACTTTAGTTTCGGGACATACAGCAATTGATTGCTCCCACCGTTTTCTGATGAAATACTAATTTTATGCGACGGTTTCGCTTTTTTATAGTGCATTTTTGCTGATGCTACATATTGGTTGATGCTGTAGTTTTACATATTAAACTATACATGTATCTTTGTTTAATAGAAACGACATTTGATACACGAAAGACAGTGCAACGTTTGCAAAATGTTACTTTGAATACGTGATAAAAACAATGACATCTGATATCCGACAGAAGTGCATTTGCAGAATTTATGAGTCATATGTAACAATTGCGCAATCGTTATTGTCTACTACGCAGTTAGCAATTTGTACTGACTTTTTAATTTAATATAAAATAAGATTATGTTACTTTAGTACGTGATAAATTGGTGAAATCTGATATCCGACAAAAAAAACTGCATATTTTGGGGAATATATGAGTCAAGTAGCAATTTTGTCATCATTTTTTTTAATACGCAATTAGTAAGTTATTGCTGTTATCTCAACAGTTTTTTATTTAATATAGGATTATGTTACTTTAATACGTGATCAAATCAGTGAAATCTGATATCCGACAAAAATAACTGCATATTTTGCATAATGTGTGCGTTTTACATGCATTTTGCAGAATTTGAGTCATTTTATCATTTTTTTCTTCAATACGCAGTTAGCAATTTTTTCCTGTCATCAGAATTTTTATTTAATATAGGTTTATGTTACTTTAATACGTGATCAAATTGGTGAAACCTGACAAAACCTGCATATTTTGCCAAATTTATGAGTTATTTGACCATCATTTTTTTCTCTAATACGCAGTTAGCAAGTTTTTGCTATTATCAGCATGTTTTTATCTAATATAAAATAAAATATCCCAAGCAACCAGCTGACGTTGTAATGACGTAAATATACGTGATTTTTGTCACTAATTAGTGATTATGACCTAAATCTGACGTTATTTTGACCGTCATAACAATAATGTCAGTATGTACACAACGCGTCACTGAATCGCGGAATAGGCGCGGNGATCGGGGGGCAAGCGGGGCGGTTGCTCGTAGCGCCAACGAGCGCCGTGCGAACTAACTAGTAGCAATCGGTTGTCCACAACTACGTCGTGTCGATAATGTAACTGCTCTTCCTTCCTATTTTCTT